AAACTCAGTGCCTCTTTGCTTGACATCATGGGAAAATCAAAATAAATCAGCCAAGACCTCAGAAATAAAATGGTAGACCTCCACAAGTTTGGTTCATCCTTGGGAGCAATTTCCAAACGCCTGAAGGTACCACGTTCTTCTGTACAAACAATAGTATGCAAGTATAAACACCATGGGACCACGCAGCCATCATACCGCTCAGGAAGGAGACGCGTTCTGTCTCCTAGAGATGCAAATCAATCCCAGAACAACAGCAAAGGATCTTGTGAAGATGCTGGAGGAAACGGGTACAAAATGATCTATATCCACAGTAAAACGAGTCCTTTATCGACATAACCTGAAAGGCCGCTCAGCAAGGAAGAAGCCACTGCTCCAAAACCGCCATAAAAAAAAACACACTACGGTTTGCAACTGCACATGGGGACAAAGATCGTACTTTTTGGAGAAATGTCCTCTGGTCTGAAGAAACAAAAATAGAACTGTTTGGCCATAATGACCATCGTTATGTTTGGAGGAAACGGGGGGGCCTTGCAAGCCGAAGAACACCATCCCAACCGTGAAGCACAGGGGTGGCAGCATCATGCTGTGGGGGTGCTTTGCTGCAGGAGGGACTGGTGAACTTCACAAAATAGATGGCATCATGAGAAAGGAAAAGTATGTTGACATATTGAAGCAACATCTCAAGACATCAGTCAGGAAGTTAAAGCTTGGTCACAAATGGGTCTTCCAAATGGACAATGACCCCAAGCATACTTCCAAAGTTGTGGCAAAATGGCTTAAGGACAACAAAGTCAAGGTATTGGAGTGTCCATCACAAAGCCCTGGCCTCAATCCTATAGAACATTTGTGGGCAGAACTGAAAAAGCGTGTGCGAGCAAGAAGGCCTACAAACCTGACTCAGTTACACCAGCTCTGTCAGGAGGAATGGGCCAAAATTCACCCAACTTATTGTGGGAAGCCTGTGGAAGGCTACCCGAAACGTTTGACCCAAGTTAAACAATTTAAAGGCAATGTTACCAAATACTAATTGAGTGTATGTAAACTTCTGACCCACTGGGAATGTGATGAAAGAAGTAAAAGCTGAAATAAATAATTCTCTCTACTATTATTCTGACATTTCACATTCTTAAAATAAAGTGGTGATCCTAACTGACTTAAGACAGGTAATTGTTACTAGGATTAAATGTCAGGAATTGTGAAAAACTGAGTTTAAATGTATTTGGCAACGGCATATGTAAACTTCCGACTTCAAGGTCCCTCAGTCGAGCAGTGAATTTCAAACACAGATTCAACCACAAGGAAGGGCACCTATTGGTAGATGGGTAAAAATACAAAAAATTCATTACACTTTGGATGGTGTATCAATACACCCAGTCACTACAAAGATAAAGGGGTCCTTCCTAACTCAGTTGTTGGAGAGGAAGGGAACCACTCAGGGATTTCCCCATGAGGCCAATGGTGACTTTAAACAGTGACAGAATTTAATGGCTGTGATAGGAGAAAACTGTGGATGGATCAACGACCTGGTAGTTACTCCACAATACTAACCTAATTGACAGAGTGAAAAGAAGGAAGCCTGTACAGAATAAAAATATTCCAAAACATGCATCCTGTTTGCAATAAGGCACTAAAGTAAAACTGCAAAAGATGTGGCAAAGCAATTAACTTTTTGTCCTGAATACAAAGTGTTATGTTTGTGACAAATCCAATACAAGATATTACTGAGTACCACTCCCCATATTTTCAAGCATAGTGGTTGCTGCATCATGTTATGGGTATGCTTGTAATTGTTAAGGACTGGGGAGATAAAAAAGGAATGGAATGGAGCTAAGCACAGGCAAAGTCCTAGAGGAAAACCTGGTTCAGTCTGCTTTCCACCAGACACTGGGAGTTTAATTCACCTTTCAGCACGACAATAACCTAAAACACAAGGCCAAATCTACACTGGAGTTAATTACCTAGAAGAAAGTGAAAGTTCCTGAGTGGCCGAGTTACAGTTTAGACTTAATTATACTTGAAAATCTATGGCAAGACCTAAAAATGGTTGTCTAGCAATAATCAACAACCAATTTGACAGAATTTTGAAAATAATAATGGCCAAATGTTGCACAATCCAGGTGTGGAAAGCTCTTAGAGACTTATCCAGAATTATTCACAGCTGTATTTGCTGCCAAAGGTGCTTCTACAAATTATTGACACAGGGTTGTGAATACTTATGTAAATGAGATATTTCTGCATTTCATTTTCAATAAATTTGCTAAAATGTCTAAAAACATGTTTTCACTTTGTCATTACGTAGTATTGTGTGTAGATGTGTGAGGAAAAAAATATATTTAATCCATTTGAATTCAGGCTGTAACACAACAAAATGTGGAATAAGTCAAGGGGTGTGAATACTTTCAGTTCACATAAGCTACTGGGTAAACAATATGCCAAGCAATATGCCAAGCCGTCAAATGCACTTGGTATTGACCCCACAACTGGTGTCTGGGGTACTTTCTCATTAAGGGCCGGTTTAGCAGACATAGATTAAGCCTCCAAAAATTGCCAGTGTAGAAATCCCCTACAATAACCCATGTGTAGCCTATAATATGTATTCAATTTTATTCACACTTAATAGACAATCAACAAATTTGAATTTGTTTGGTGACAACAATATTACAGAAAATACAAATTGTAGGTTATAACAACATTACAGTAACGTCTAGATAAATACATTAGCTTTGTTGTTGCAAGTAGGACATTTCATTTATTTATGTTAGACATTTGGATCACATGTAGGCCTATGTAATTAGATTATAAGGATGTAAGGATAAAGATGTATACTGAATAAAAATACTAACGCAACATGTAAAGTGTTGGTCCCATGTATCATGAGCTGAAATAAAAGATCCCAGAAATGTTCCATACGCACAAAAAGCTTATTTCTCTCAAATGTTGTGCACATATTTGTTTACATCCCTGTTCCTGTTAGTGAGCATTTGTCCTTTGCCAAGATAATCCATCCACCTGACAAGTATGGCATATCAAGAAGCTGATTAAACAGCATGATCATTACACATGTGCACCTTGTGCTGGGGACAATAAAAGGCCACTCTAAAATCTGCAGTTTTGTCGCACAACACAATGCCACAGATGTCTCAAGTTTTGAGGGAATGTGCAATTGGCATGCTGACTGCAGGAATGTCCACCAGAGCTGTTGCCAGAGAATGTAATGTTAATTTATCTACCATAAGCCGCCTCCAACATCGTTTTAGAGAATTTGGCAGTACGTCCAACCGGCCTCACAACCGCAGACCACATGTTACCACCCCAGCCCAGGACCTCTACATCAGGCTTCTTCACCTGCGGGATCGTCTGAGACCAGCCACCAGGACAGCTGATGAAACTGAGGAGTATTTCTGTCTGTAATAAATACCTTTTGTGGGGAAAAATTCATTCTGATTGGCTGGACCTGGCTCCCCAGTTGGTGGGCCTAGCTCCCAAGTGGGTGGGAATATGGCTCTTCACTGAGCATGCTCCTGATGTAATTTTTCCTCTGTTGAAAATCTATTGAAGTTTAAGTTATAGACTGGACAAAATTAGCCTACGAATTACTAGACTGATTACAGCTGCATGCAGTGTTTAATGTAAGCTCGAGAGATCAGGAGGCTTTGAGAAGCTAGGACAAAATATCATAATTATAATAGGTTGATTAATTAACTGTTGGGCACATTTTTTATTTGTTTGTGTGTGTGTGTGTGTGTGTGTGGTCTCCCACAATACAAATGGTCAAATGTCTATAAAACATGACTTAATATGTTTTAATAAACAACACGTGTAAAAAGGACATCTTCCAAGTGCCAATGGAGTATCTTCAACTGTTAAAGGCCCAATGCAATAAAAAACGTGAGTTTCCTGTGTTTTATATTTCCACACTATGAGGTTGGAATAATACTGTGAAATTATGAAAATGATGATAATGCCCTTTTAGTATAAGAGCTGTTTGAAAAGACCGCCTGAAATGTCAGCCTGTTTATGTGGGATGGAGTTTTGGCCATCCATGTTGACATCACCATATGGTAAAGTCGTTTATAGACCAATAAGAAAGAGAGTTCCAAACCTCTCTGCCAATAACAGTTAATTTTCTGTTTTCCCCTCCACCACTCCCAGACAGTCCTAGCAAAATTCTTGCTTGAGAAATTGCTCTTTGCTAAAAAGCAATGTTTCTTTTTAACCATTTTAATTGAAGTACCTTACTGTGATTGTTTTCATTGTTAATCAGAAATGATTTGATATTTAGATAAAAATGGCTGCATTGGTCCTTTAAATATTCTTTATAAACACAGAGTGCATCAAGGCATAAACACTGAGACCATGTAATACTCCCCCCCTGGTCCTGTGCCATTTGGACTGTGTTGTAAGTCAGTTAAACATTAGAACTCTCTCTGATGACATAGTGGTTGAACCATTCCTTTGCCCTATACCATGATACCCCAAAAATGCCAGTATAGGCTTATCATGCATGGCCATAATGAATGATAGGCAATATTGATCATTATCATACACATAAAGGTCACATAAATAAATACATCACAATAAGTAGCTCTCTTAGCATTTCATCATAGTGATTAATAAATCACTAAATCCCTGATGTCAGTTAGAATATTATTTCTCTGTTCTCAGTAAGATACATATCCTCTTTTCTGCCATCCATTTTAGTCCTTGTCCTCTTTTCTTCCTTCACATCGGTCTACTCTCTTCCTCTTTTTGACCCATATCTTCCCCATCCACTTCAAGATCTTTGTGATTGGGCGCGTTCGACATTGCAGCCGGCTTTAAAGGCGAGTCAAGACTGACTGATCAACAAATCACCTTGCATCTTAAATAACTTCTCAATATTATTTGTAGATCTGTCAGTCGCAATTCACACGATACATCACAGTTTTGATACTCTTGAACACAGTGTTGTCTGCCAGTCTGTGTGTATTACGTTCTTCCAACCCCCAGATAGAGCTCTCCTAGGTCTCTGCCCCACCTGGCATGATGCTGACCTTGTGGTACACCTTCTCAGGCTGGGGGCTGCTCTGCATGGCCAGGATGGAGGAGCACAGGGGATCCAACAGCAACTGCATAGAATAGAATTCAACTTAATTGTGTTACAGAGAACAACATTATTATGGGCTGTCCTCCCCTTAGCAGCCTCCACTGCTACACACAAAGAAACACAGTCTATTATTCATTAAAACACACTGATCATGCGTCATACTACTGACCTCTGTGAAATGTTCAGGCAACTTGTCCTTGGGTCTGAGGAAGTGGACCACCCAGTAGCAGTACCAGAAGGCCAAGGCCAGCAGGGCCACTGCCACAGCCATCACCAGGGCTACCACCCAGGGCCTGTCATTGCCTGTGGAGTGGTTGGGGTTGGAAAAAGGACACCAGGGAGGAATAATTTAGTTGAGCGGGGGGGACTTGTACTTGGAGAAGCACTGAAGGCAGCAATCTAATCAAATCCTCATAATTTGTGTTTAACCGATGAAAGGGAGGAAGAGAGAGCGAGAGAGGCAGAAAGAGAGCGAGAGAAATGGGGCTCACCCTTACCGGTGCTCTCACACGTAACATTGCTGGGCTGGCTGTGTTTGGAGAACCTCAGGGTGTACGCCCAGACTTGAACACAGTACCTGGTCCATGGCTCCAGTGCCAAGACCACTTTACGCAGCTGGGTGTCATTCGTCCTTTTGGCCTGAGGGAGGCGATAGAGAAGTAGTGAGGATCGACAGCGCCATAGACTATCCCACCCACAGTCATAACAGTTACCACTGGCAGATGTAAAAGTAGTTGATGTGCTCTGACTCTAAACCCAGAGGGCTGCCCTAAATGCAACATAGTGAAACTTTGGGGGGTAATGCTCTAAGTAATGCTAATTTCACCATTATTTTATTTGTTTAAAATGCAATTTGTAGTGCTACAGTGGTAAATATTAAAATAAAAGCTTATTCCAAATTAAATTAACACCCCCACCTGTGTAATGGTTTTTAAAAAAATAATCCATGTGGCTGCACTTGTCTTCCCGGGACAGTCCCGTATCTCAGCCCCTTTTCAGGTGTCCAAACTTTCTTTCTACAAAAAAAATGTCCTTATGTCAGCAAGACGCATCAATTAATTCAGGCTAGTGTAGACCCAATGATAATCGCCGAATGTCATAAAACGTTTTGGTGTTTTGTAAAAGATGTCTCTTTCCATTCATCAAATGGCGCAAGTGCACAGTGCACTGTTTGGATGCTGGAACTATTTTGGAGTGGACGAACATGCGCAAGTAGTCTACTTTTTGAAGTGATTTGTTTAACAATAAGATGAAAACATCAGGACTGGTTGTGTTCATGCCAAATTAAAAGGTAATAAAACAAAGTCTGTTTTTCTTTGTTTTAACATTATCAGATCCCTTGATGAAAGAAATGGTAAGTAAAATGGTCACCATACCTTCTCCTCCTGGCCCTCTTTCCAGTAGGTGATGTTAAAGGTTGCGTGGCTGTAGATGTCTTTGAACTCAGAGATCCTGAGCACTGGGTCTTTGATGCTCACTTCAATGTCAGCACCTCTGGAGACAAGCGTCACACCGGGAGGGCCTAGCGTGGCTGTAGAGAGACATATGAAAGGAAGTAACCTACAGGAAGTGAACACCTCTCAGGTGAGGAGGGTTAAATAAATTACACTTGCTAGCTGATAACCATAGACTAGTCTATTAAAGAGGCAATTCTGTCAGGCTCCAGTCTTTATTCACAGTCACACACTGTGTTTTACCCAACCTCTGGCTGAAGAGTGCTTGTTAATACATTTTCATACCCTTAACATCTGTCAAAGCTGTTACGGAGATGGGTATAAACTCACTGTGTTTATCCATGACAAACTGCTTAGTCACCATCCAGTGAGATGTGTCCCCCTTTCGTTCTGCCCTCACTTGAAAATTGTACACTCCATATTGGTTTAGATGACTGGTGAAGTCACAGCTTTGGGCTGTTGTGTTCCAACATACAACCAAATAGCTGCTGACCAAGCTCCTGTATCAAAACATGGCATCGTAGTTATTGCAGTAGAATATTATTACCAGCACGGCCGGACGCTCATTAGGCAGGATTAGGTGGATGGTGTATCAATACACCCAGTCACTACAAAGATAAAGGTGTCCTTCCTAACTAAGTTGCCGGAGAGGAATGAAACCGCTCAGGGATTTCACCAAGAAAACTGAGGATGGGTCAACAATATTGTAATTACTCCAAAATACTAACCTAAATGACAGAGTGAAAAGAAGAAAGCCTGTACAGAATAAAAATATTCCAAAACATGTATCCTGTTTGCAAAAAGGCACTAAAGTAAAACTGCAAGAAAATGCGGCAAATAATTTAACTTGATGTCCTCAATATAAAGCGTTATGTTTGGGGCAAATCCAACATATCACTGAGTACCACTCTTCATATTTTCAAGCATGGTGGTGGCTGCATCATGTTATGGGTATGCTTGTCATCGGCAAGGACTAGGGAGTTTTTTGGGATAAAAATAAACAGAATACAGGCACAGGCAAAATCCTAGAGGAAAACCTGGTTCAGTCTGCTTTCCAACAGACACTGGGAGAAAAATTCACAATTTAGCGGGACAATAAGTTAGCATTTGAAACAGTGGCCAGGTAAACAAAACCAAAGCATGGGTTGCTGTCATACCTTGTCCATAAACTGCTTACAGGATAAGGAAACCAATATGCCATTTTGTAATTTGGGTGATCTATGCCATTAACATTGATGGGGGCGGTATATATATTTTTTCAATCACCTAGTAGCAGGAACAGCACCATCTAGTGGTCAGAACCTGGTAATATCAGGATGTAGGATAGGACATAAACCTAACAACTTCAGTTACTAATTTCTCTTAACGAAAAAAATTAATAATAATACATTCACTGAGAAAACATTGCATTGGATGAAGAAACAATACTCAGAGCCGCAACTGTATACTCCTTGTTGTGGTGGGTTTGGTTGGGGGTCCGTGGGTGGCTTTTGATCATTTATTTGTATTCCTCATGTATTGATCATTGTTAGAAAAAATTATGGTGAAATTAGCATTACTTAGAGCATTACCCCCCAAAGTTTCACTATGTTGCATTTAGGGGGAACCCTCTGGGTTTAGAGTCAGAGCACATCAACTACTTTTACATCTGCCAGTGGTAACTGTTATGACTGTGGGTGGGATAGTCTATGGCGCTGTCGATCCCCACTACTTCTCTATCGCCTCCCTCAGGCCAAAAGGATGAATGGCAACCCGCTGCGTAAAGTGGTCTTGGTGCTTGAGCCATGGACCAGGTACTGTGTTCAAGTCTGGGTGTACACCCTATGGTTCTCCAAACACAGCCAGTCCAGCAATGTTATGCCTATTGTTTAAAAAAAAAAGGTCAAAATCAGATGTTTGGTCCTATATTTATTGAATATGAATCCTATGAATTAAAATGGCCAATTAGCTTAATTTCTCAGAGATCAAATTATATTTCAACGAACGTATTTTGCAGTAATGCTAATCTTATTTGTATCTAACAAAAACAATTTCAGAACAATCTGAGATGGTGGGTGTCAAAATCCTCTTTCTTGTGCTTTTTAAGGTGGAACGATCCAAAGTGAAATAGGAGTGAAATAGTTGCACCCATTTCTTAGAAATATACTGAGTGCGTGTTGTTGTGGGTGTGTGTGTGTCAGTGTGAGCAAGTATAATGTATGAGACAAGTATGAATGTGTGTAGGTACAAAGAGTACGCCAGAGTGTGAGTGCGTGTGTATGAAACAGAGAGAGTCTACTGGTAAAGTCTACTTGTAGGTGTGTCAGTTCTCCTCTTTCCCAGCACCCACAGGAGGAAGTTCCTCATATTTCAATGTGTCACCCTCACTTTGCTCCATTGTGTTGTTTTTCATATTACCACGGTCTCCACTCACCTGTACTCTGCTCTGTAGGTTATGTTTTCTGTGTGGTTCTGAGGGGCATCCCACTCCAACACTAGTCCCATGTTGACCGAGTTAATCCTGATGTTACTGGGACTTGGAAGTTCAGCTAACACTGCTGTAAAGCCCCGAGATACACATTTGAACATACTGACAATATACTGTACTTCAGTGGTTCCCAACCAGGGGTACTAGGACCCCTGGGGGTACTCGGCCCATCCACAGACTCATGAGACCTACTGGTAAAATGTACATGAAGTGGTACTTCAGGGGTACTCAGGGCAGAGCAAAATTCAGTTGGTGGTACAGTAACCGAAAAAGGTTGGGAACCACTGCTGTACATCATGCAGCAGGTGGGGGGAAATAGTATTGTACCTGCCTTAGACTATTTTAAGAGGTACTAGAGAAATGAAGCCCGCTTCATAGAGATAAACACTCTTGAGCAAATTTGCTCCTGTATGTTACAGAGAAGGAAGTAAGAAATGATTTACAGTAATGACGATGATAAATGTCAAGTGTTTCCATTGGTTCCCACAATTGGCAATACAATAGAGTGTACGTATGAGAGTGTTAAATAAATGTATAATAGACTGAAATTATAAAGGAATATCTACAAAAGGAGGTTTAAAACCTTCACCTACAAACATAGCCAATCGCTTGACAGCACAGTTGGTAGGCTATGCGATCTAGACTATGGTAAGACCAAGAGCAGAATACTGACCTGTCATTCCATGTAAAGTTAAACACAATTTAACAAACAAGATAGTAAAAACTGTAGATTGCATGTTTCCCAAGAGATTTTCAGTCTAATCCAATGACACTAAAATGTTCTGTTGGCTATATTTTTCTTGTGGCTGCTCTTGAGAGTTTGATGTGTAGCCGACTTTCTGAATGGTCTGAGAACTGCGGGGAATGCGTAACTATGCTGCGCATGAATACAGAACACCAAACGTATGGTTTCGGGGAAACCAAACACGTGACACGCGCTAGGCATTTCCTAGCTTCGCTACATTCAGTGTCAATAATAAAGCATTGCAATAAAAAGTATTCAATTTCCTCCTTTTATTACAGGTCTATAATTAAACCTAAAGTACTTGTTGAATATGACACAGTTCAATACATTTAAAGACAAATCGACATACATTTCACATTTTGTTTTACATGACAATATACTCTATAGGCCTGCCTATGCCTTTTTTTTTATTTTTACATATAATAATAAATAATAATATGCCATTTAGCAGACGCTTTATGTGTGCATACATTTTTACGTATGGGTGGTCCCGGGGATCGAACCCACTACCCTGGTGTTACAAGCGCCATGCTCTACCAATTGAGCTACAGAGGACCACATTATTACATTACATGGTAATAATCAATCACAAAGTAGCCTTATTCACAAAAAAATAAGAATATAATTTTGTCATGACCCAGACAGAAATATAAACCAATGATTTTTTATAATCTTATCAGTGGATAATTGTGGGTTAAATATGTATTTGATCTCAAGGAGAACGCCACCAGTCCATAGCCTTCATCATCATCTTCTGCCTCGACACTCTCCTCCCCTGTGTATGGCCTGGGAGGGACAAAGTCATGGTGATTGGGGTCCAACCCCAGGCAGGACTGAGAGCAGGTTGAAAGGGTCAGGCTAGGGATCTGTAGGCATCTGACCATCACCACAGAAGGGAACAGAGGACTGCAGGCAGAGAGAGTAGCGCCAAAAAGGGTTTGGTGTTAAGCCACGGAAGAGGTAATATAAAAATCATTATAATGATGTTGATGGAATTTCCTTTCCCCCTGAGTGAATGCATAATCTGTATTGAATTAAATTGGAGTCAGGCAAAGTTTCAGTAGATACACAGCAAAATTGTCCGTGTACATATCCTGATGTAAGCAGTTGTGGTGTTGATGTGGTGTTACATTGTGTTACTATGAACAGACTGTTAAAAAATACTGTACAGGGTGTCAAATTAACCAGTGTTACCTAGTGTTGATTTTTCATTGTAACATTTCTAGTGTTGATTCAGGTGTTAAATTAACTCTGTAAGTGTTACATTAACACTCATTGGTGTAAAATAACCCTAGTGTTGGTGTTAATAACCAGTGTTAAACCAAAACCACGCCCATCATTATCATATTTCCCAGCATGCCCTATTGCAGGTGTTGATTAATTAATCTTATGCTTATATAAATAACATGCATTTTTCTAAGGTAATCCAATCTGTTATTTGGACTTATTGCACCCGTTACTGAAATGCAAGTTCCAGTTTAGATGCTTAAGGTAGTCCCAACCCTGAACGCAAGTTGCGGGTGAATAAAAATTCCAAATGTTGGATATCCCCACTCTGGTTGGATTCCAATAGGAATTACATCACTTTACAAGCAAACATAATGTGACTTGCAGGCCTGATTTTGCCTGTAAACCATTACTTTTTGGCCACTGTATTAGTGTAAAACTAGACCCTCAAAATCAGGCCTTATGAATTATGTGTTGTATTGTGTTAAATAATTGCATTTTAATGATAACATATTTGCTTAGGATCTCACTTGGTGAAGGCCACAGGACTGAAAATGGATGAATGCAACAACCGTGTCTCTGTCACTAACAAATACAGTAATGGGTTGTAACTTTACAATTCACTTGAAAAGCAAGGCACTCTGGGAAATATGCAAATAAGGCTATACACTAAGCAGTGTGTTAATTTAACACTGAAAAGTGTGGACCCGTATAGACACCAGACCAGTTTTAAATTAAAAACTGTCAGTGTTGATTTAACACTTAAGAATTTGTTGTAAAGGGAAAGGTGAACACCATAACAGTGAAGTGTTAAATACAAGGTATTAGTAAACACCATAACAGTGTAACTTTAATACTAAGTTAGTGTAACATTTTAATGCCACTGATGTTGCAAAGAATCAGTGTTAAACGGCAACATTTTGAAAAGTGTAAATTCAACACTTTCTGGTGGTCCTCATTTAACACTTCAAAGGTGTGAAATTGAACACCCGCAGTGTTCAATTTACCGATCAAATTTTGCTGTGCAGTTGAATCATGGCAATAGTACCAGTGTTCTGGGGAGAGGTTTGTGCAGACAGAGCAGGCGACCACTGTAGACCACCACTCCACAGAGGAGCACCACCAGGAGGCTAAAGGCACACAGTACACTCAGAACCACAGGCACTGGGGGACAGACAGACACCAAGGGTTAGGGGCTATAATTGCTAACAGATGTAAACACTGATGTAAAATAATGGCCGTGCCTGTTGTGTATGACTGATTTACCAGTGCTGTATTGCTATGTTGTACTACACTGTGTGGTCTCTTAGCTGTGCTGTTAGGCCCTGGTACTGTACCTGTGTTGGCAGCAGTAGGGCTGGTGAAGGCACAGTGGGGCTCAGAGGGGACTGAGTGAGGGTTAAAGGTCGTAGACGGGGCGACAGTCACGCAATACTCCGCCCCTGGCTCCAGGTAGCCAATCACAGTCTCCTCAGTGGAGGTGACCCACATGCTGAACTGCAAAAAGGCAGAGACATTGTCACAATGTTTATATAATGTTTATAGACCCATTTTACCATGCTGTAATGCTTTGGATAAGTAATCCACATTGATCATTGATCATAATGGTCTAATTCATAGCCATGTGTGTAGCTATAATACCAATATCTCATTGAGATATTAGTCCTATGACTACTGTTTTGTTCATTCATTGTTGTCTTGTATTAGATTCACTGTGTCTCTACCGCATTGACAAATAACTGTGGGTTAGAGACGGGGAGATGAGATAACTGACAAAGAGATGGGGGGGAAGAGCCCCCTCCCCCTGAACCTGTGTAGGCATACTTTTTCTCAGAGTAAAAGGCGAGTTTCCTCGAACACAAACCAGACTGTGTGCTCCTGAGAGGAAGGTGTGGGCAAAACCACATGTATCTACATCTGCAGTACGAAAGATAAACAACCCTCAGAGAGGAAAAATGTGCCTTATTAAATTCTTATATTAGACAGATACTGATCTACTTTCTCATCAATGCCCTGATGTTATTCTCAGGTTCTATTCAAATAGAATGTATGTGGGTTTGACCACATTATCAGAACTTGCTTTCTTTTCTAGGTTTATGTCATTTCACGTATCTTTACACTGTAAAAAAAAAAAAAAAACTTGAAATTATGCAGATAGGAGGTCAAACCCAACGTGACAGGGCAAGGTATCAGAATGTGTGTAAGATCAAAGCTGTAAGCAGACCCCATTGGTAGTCACATTTTGAACGACCAATCTCAAGTCCTACCTGAGATCCGTCCCTGGTCCGGCGCACCTGGCAGGTGAACTGCCTGTAGAGGAGCTGTGTGAGGGACAGGGAGCGCTGCAGGCCCCTGGATGTGGGGGGAGTTACCTGCAGGAGCAGGCAGTTCCCACAGCCGGACAAGGACACCACTAGAGGGCCCAGCAACGCTGCAACATCAGGGGTCAGAGGTTACAGTGAAGACTGAATGATTCTATACAGGTCAATTACATCAGCAAACTGATGTAACGAGGACCACTAGAATGGACAATATTTTTCCATTTCCAAATATAAAAGAAGAGTAGACTAACGTTTCACTCAAATACCATTCTCAACATGCATTTTGTCTAGTGAGCCGCGTTATTCCAATGAAAAGAAAAGAGGACTGAAATGGAGGGGAAAAGGTACAGTAAGAGCGTCTCACTGTCAGTCAAGGGGTAGAAGAGCATAGAGAGGGACCAGTTGGACTTCTGAGTCGGGGTGAAGGCCTGAACACGGGCTTTGTAATGACGGAAGGAATCCTTGAACGTGTTAGTGAGGTCACATGACTGGCTAGTCTTCAACCTGGCACAACCCTTCACAAGCTGCCATGAGTTCTTCCTGGAGGAGGGGAAGAGATATAAAGCAATTAGAGAGTTTAATTTAGCCAAATTTGAAATCATAATTTAAGGTTTCCAAGACCTCTCTGATGAGAAGATGCTACCCATCCTGATGGGGGAGGACGCAGAGCTGTAGGTTGGCAGCGCACTCCATTGCTGGGCGTCAGGTAGCCGAGCAGTTAAGAGCATTGGGCCAGTAACCGAAAGGTTGCTGGTTCAAATCCCAGAGCCAACTAGGTGAAAAATCTGTCAATGTGCACTTGAGCAAGGCACTTAACCCTAATTGCTCCTGTAAGTCTCTGCTAAATGACTAAAATGTAATAAAATGAGGGACAGTGTCTGACAAACCAACCTGCACATGTCTTCAAGTTATTTATTTACTTACTGATTTCCATATCTAATACAACTCTACCCCCCCCCCACCCTTGATTATTGTTGTTACTGATTGTCCTGTTTGATAATTTTTTATGATGTTATTGATATTATTAATGAATTATTCAATTTCCAAAGTACACTTTGGCATTATGTACATTGTTACGTCATGCCCAATAAAGCAATTGAAATTGAATAGAAATTGAAATGAGAGAGAGAGAAAAAGAGAGAGAAATAGAGGGGAAAAAGCCAAGCAAATGTAACACTGATGATAATATCTACACTGCTCTACATTGCACAATTGCAGTGATTCAGTATTTGCCTTGACCACTTAAACAGATGAAATGAAAGCATTAGATCATCATGGAAGCCTACCTGAAAAGAAAGTGCTTACTCAGCAGCTACGTATAAGGATAAGTGAAATGAATGCAGGGGACTGAAGTGTAAGTGTGAGCTAACCTGAGGCACTGAACTATGAAATGTGTGTTGGCAGGAGTCCCTGGACCGGGCAGCCAGGTCAGAGTGTGCTCCAGGTTGAAGGAGACGATGGACACGTTGGTAGGGGCTGGGAGCATGGACACCACTGGAACATCCACACAAACAGATAGACAGACAGACAGAGTGAGACACACAGACAAAAACTAATCCCAAATGATAGACAGACACAGAACAGGACAGCCAGAGAGACAGGTATTTTAGCAGAGCAAAAGATTAGTACCAGACACAATGCAAACGAAAACACATCAAACATTTCCAGAAAATTATGTTTCAAATAATACAAACAATGAAGATAAGACACTGTAGATAAGGGAAGCTGTGTGTCAATATACAGTACATTATACAGCCCTCCTTCAAGAGTTGCAACTTGCAAGAGGAACATCCTGCATTAAATACTGCAGTCCTCACCAGAGAGTAAAATGCATTACCCAAACAATCACTGAAAATCAACTGAGGGTTTGGTTAAATGGTTTCGTTGAATGCAGCCAGTTGTGCAACTGACTAGATATCTCCTTCCCCTTCCCCCCAGAGACCACCCTTAAAAAAACAGAGCTTACCCAGGGGTAGGTGCAGGAGCAGCAGGGTCCAAGGCCCCATCATCCAGATTGAGTCAGGTCAGTCCAGTGGTAGCTGTGTAGGATGGCAGGCCTGGCTCTGTGTCTCGGGGTTAGAGTGCAATGAGCTGGGGCTAGGAGCCGCTGCTGTCATTTTTTAAAGGTGTAAGTTTCATTTCTCCAGAAATCCCTCCCTGAGTTGTTCCCCCTAACTCACTCACACACACCTTATAATATCCCTGTGCAGTATTCTGTCGCTCTCACACACTCACTGGACTGCTGCATGCTAAAATGGGATCTACAACACTGGATTGAAGAGTCTTTTCTATTTCTTTGCTGTCCAATTTGATGTAATATTTCTGTATGTGAATGTTTGAAGTGTATGCTGTATTAGTTGTGTGATTCTGTATGAGGTCAGTGTGAAGGAAGCTATACAGTTTAGATATTTCTGTCATGAACATAAAGCTTGCTTATAATGTTATACGGAATAGAGTGCTGTCATCTGTTTATTAACTGAGTTTATAACAATTACAAATGGTAAAATGGTATATAATAAATAAATACAAATAAAAAAAGGATACAAAATGTCTTCAAAAGACTCATTACAAAATGTTGGTATTATTAATTTTTTTTCCCTTAACAGTTTGGCATTAACAAATATTACATTGAATTTACCAATAAACAGAATATCTCAAAACAACATTATTTTTGCATTGATTACATACATATAAAATAATACACGCTTCAAAATGACTACTTTTTCCTGAATATGTAACAGTTTGATTACATGTTTTCTATAGCATGACAAAAAGCAAGTAAAGAAGGCTACTACTATGTTGGCATAAACACTGAAAAGTATGTTGACCCTAAACTTGTGAATAAGTACAGAATACTGAATTGTATAGCTTGACCTATGATGCCCTTGACATATGCCCATGAGCATCAGTATTATTAGCTAATACTGTCTGTGAACATCGATAATATAACCACAAAGTACTTGAAAACCTAGTGTAACTTTTGATCAAGGCTCTCACATTCAAGTTAGCAACTTAGTATGACCTCTTGAAAAGTAGATAGAGGTAATATATACTTTAACAATTTCAAGCTGTAAAAAAACATTCTATATGTCTGAATACTTTAAAAGCTTACATAGACACTGAGTATACAAAACATTAAGAACACCTGCTCATTCCATGACAGACTGACCAGGTGAATCCAGGTGAAAGCTATGATCCTTTATTGATGTCAGTTAAATCCAGCTCAATCAGTGTAGCTGAGGGGGAGACAGGTTGAATAAGCATTTTTAAGCTTTGAGACAAATGAGACATCGATTGTTTATGTGTGCCATTCAGAGGGTGAATGGGCAAGACAAAATATTTAGTGCCTTTGAACGGGGTATGGTAGTAGGTGCCAGGCGCACAGGTTTGTGTCAAGAACTTCAAAACGCTGCTGGGTTTTTCACGCTCAACAGTTTCCCGTGTATATCAAGAATGGTCCATCACCCAAAGGACATCCAGCCAACTTGACACAACTGTGGGACGCATTGGAGTCAACATGGGCCAGCATACCTGTGGAACGCTTTTGACACCTTGTAGAGTCCTTCCCACGCCGAATTAAGGCTGTTCAGAGTATAATGCATTCCTTACCGAAAAACCACATGAATTTCACATGAACACATGTAATCTTGTGTGATCATATGTGATTTAATGTGAAATTAATGTGATAACGTGACAACATGTAAAGCAACGTGACAACATGATCTCATGTGAAATTAACGTGACAACATGGGGATGCAACATTTAAACGTGATAACATGAAACTACACGTGACAACATTTGAGCACGTGAAAACCCAGGTGTCAAATGTAATTTAGAATATTTTACTTTGAAAGGCATCATTTACATTAATTCAATTTAAACAGTCAGGGTGCCCTGCAGGTTTGGTCTAGTTCCTGGTTTGTTCCAGGGACGTCCCCAAATATGTTTTTAGGACGTTCTCAGAACGTTGTGTCATGGTCCTGCATGAAACTTTCTTAACTCCTCAGTAAACACTGCTGTGGCGCAGCGGTCTAAGGCACTGCATCTTAGTGCTAGAGGCGTCACTACAGATCCTGGATCGATTCTAGACTGTATCACAATCCAGCCGTGATTGGGAGTCCCATAGGGCGGTGCACAATTGGCCCAGCGTCGTTGGGGTAGGCCGTCATTGTAAATAAGAATTTGTTCTTAACTGACTTGCCTAGTTAAATAAAGGTTAAATAAAAAAATAAAAAAACAGACCCAGACATTTTTAAAGTTGGGATCAGTGTGTGTACAGTGGGGAAAAAAAGTATTTAGTCAGCCACCAATTGTGCAAGTTCTCCCACTTAAAAAGATGAGAGAGGCCTGTAATTTTCATCATAGGTACACGTCAACTATGACAGACAAAATGAGAAAAAAAAATCCAGAAAATCACATTGTAGGATTTTTTATGAATTTATTTGCATACTATGGTGGAAAATAAGTATTTGGTCAATAACAAAAGTTTCTCAATACTTTGTTATATACCCTTTGTTGGCAATGACACAGGTCAAACGTTTTCTGTAAGTCTTCACAAGGTTTTCACACACTGTTGCTGGTATTTTGGCCCATTCCTCCATGCAGATCTCCTCTAGAGCAGTGATGTTTTGGGGCTGTCGCTGGGCAACACAGACTTTCAACTCCCTCCAAAGATTTTCTATGGGGTTGAGATCAGGAGACTGGCTAGGCCACTCCAGGACCTTGAAATGCTTCTTACGAAGCCACTCCTTCATTGCCCGGGCGGTGTGTTTGGGATCATTGTCATGCTGAAAGACCCAGCCACGTTTCATCTTCAATGCCCTTGCTGATGGAAGGAGGTTTTCACTCAAAATCTCACGATACATGGCCCCATTCATTCTTTCCTTTACACGGATCAGTCGTCCTGGTCCCTTTGCAGAAAAACAGCCCCAAAGCATGATGTTTTCACCCCCATACTTCACAGTAGGTATGGTGTTCTTTGGATGCAACTCAGCATTCTTTGTCCTCCAAACACGACGAGTTGAGTTTTTACCAAAAAGTTCTATTTTGGTTTCATCTGACCATATGACATTCTCCCAATCCTCTTCTGGATCATCCAAATGCACTCTAGCAAACTTCAGACAGGCCTGGACATGTACTGGCTTAAGCAGGCGGACACGTCTTGCACTGCAGGATTTGAGTCCCTGGCGGCGTAGTGTGTTACTGATGGTAGGCTTTGTTACTTTGGTCCCAGCTCTCTGCAGGTCATTCACTAGGTCCCCCCGTGTGGTTCTGGGATTTTTGCTCACCGTTCTTGTGATCATTTTGACCCTACGGGGTGAGATCTTGCGTGGAGCCCCAGATCGAGGGAGATTATCAGTGGTCTTGTATGTCTTCCATTTCCTAATAATTGCTCCCACAGTTGATTTCTTCAAACCAAGCTGCTTACCTATTGCAGATTCAGTCTTCCCAGCCTGGTGCAGGTCTACAATTTTGTTTCTGGTGTCCTTTGTCAGCTCTTTGGTCTTGGCCATAGTGGAGTTTGGAGTGTGACTGTTTGAGGTTGTGGACAGGTGTCTTTTATACTGATAACAAGTTCAAACAGATGCCATTAATACAGGTAACGAGTGGAGGACAGAGGAGCCTCTTAAAGAAGAAGTTACAGGTCTGTGAGAGCCAGAAATCTTGCTTGTTTGTAGGTGACCAAATACTTATTTTCCACCATAATTTGCAAATAAATTCATAAAAAATCCTACAATGTGATTTTCTGGATTTTTTTTTCTCAATTTGTCTTTCATAGTTGACGTGTACCTATGATGAAAATTACAGGCCTCTCTCATCTTTTTAAGTGGGAGAACTTGCACAAATAGTGGCTGACTAAATACTTTTTTTCCCCACTGTATGTGTGTTTATGAGAGAGGGGGAAACAGACCCAAAAAACAAAAACAGACTCACACACTTTCTGTCTCCCCCTCTCTCATAAACACACATACACACACTGATCCCAACTTTAAAAATGTTAGGCAACAAACAGAATTTCAGGAGTACCAGAAATAGATAGATTTACTTTGATGGTAAATTATTGAGGATAATAGCGGACGATATTGCCACTCCTATTTGCCATCTCTTCAATCTAGACCTACAGGAAAGTGTTTGCCCTTAGGCCTGGAGGGAAGTAAAAGTAATTCCGCTACCCAAGAATAGCAAAGCACCTTTTACTGGCTCAGACAGCAGACCAATCAGCCTGTCACTAACCCTTAGTAATCTTTTGGAATAAAATCGTGTTTGACCAGATACAATGCTATTTCACAATAAACAAATTAACAACAGATTTTCAGCACGCTTATAGGGAAGGGCATTCAACATGTACGGCACTTACACAAATTACTCATTATTGGCTGAGAGAAATGTATAACAAAATGGTGCAGCTTTTGACATTATCGAACATACTATGCTGCTGGAAAAATTTATGTGTTATGGCTTTACATCCCCTGTGTCACGTCTCCTCCCGTTGCTCCCCTCCGGCGCTCTGATTCACTGGTCTACTGAGCCACCGGTCTGAGCGCACCACCTCGGCAACAACGGAATGGAAACCCAACGCACCCTAATCACCTCCAGCGCACCTGCACCTCATCATCTCATCACCACCCCTATATAGCCCTGGACTGTTCAGTGTTGTGTGTGATTGTTGGTGTCATGTCGTGTACGCGCTCTTTGTTGTTCTCTTGCTCAGTGTTAAGTAAACCTTTACATTGTTGATTCCTCAGTACTCGTCACACCCTGCTATAGTGTGGATTGAGAGTTACCTGTCTAACAGAACACAGAGGGTGTTCTTCAAAGGAAGCCTCTCTAACATAATCCAAGTAGTCAGACATTCCACAGGGCAGCTGTCTAGGCACCTTACTTTTTTCAATTGTTACTAATGACCTGCCACTGGATCTGAATAAAGCCTGTGTGTTTATGTATGCTGTTGACTCAACACTATACACTTCAGCTACCACAGCAAGTGAAATCACTGCAACACTTCAAAAAGAGCTGCAGTCAGTTTCAGAATGGGTGGCAAGATCTAAGTTAGTCCTAAATATTTATAAAACTAAAAGCACTGTATTTTGGACAGATCATTCACTAAACCTCAACTAAATCTTATAATGAATAATGTGGAAATTGAGCAAGTTGAGGAGACTAAACTGCTTGGAGTAACCCTGGATTGTAAACTGTCATGGTTTGAAAATATATATAATAAATTATCAACCCTGCAAGCAATACAAG